GGGGAGGGGAAGGGGGGCTGGTGGGTCAGAGCAGGGGGGGCTGGGAGCCAGGACTCCTGGTTTCTCTCCCCGGCTCTGGGAGGGGAGCAGGAGGGGCCTCACCTCTCGAACTCCTTGGTCTTGGTGCTCTCCTGCACCCCTTTGCTGATGACGAGCAGGAAGTCCTGCGTGAGGACGAAGGGAACCCGCTCCCGCTTGTAGCCAAATTTCTTCTTCTTGTGGTCCAGGAAGTGGCCGAAGTCGATGTGGAAGAGCTGGGAGAAGGGGGGGTTGGACGATGAACGGGACATGGGGCCTGTCGCCTCTAGGGGGCGCCGGCTCCCACCCGGCCACAGGGCAGGGAATGGGGTGGGGGGTCTCACCTGCCCGTCGTCCTTCACCATGATGTTGCTGTTGTGCCGGTCGCCGATGCCCAGGATGAAGGTGGCCACACAGTACCCAGCGCACGAGCGGGTGAACAGGTCGATGGCGTTGTCGTAACTGAATCAGAGCACGTGGAGTGAATCGCCTCCCCTGACCCGCCTCTCCCCAGCTCCCCCCCACAGCACCGCCATCCTGCCCCCCAGGCCGGCGCCCCGAGCCCGCAGACCCGCCTGACCTGGCCCCCTTGTTCCTGTCCTTCAGCCAGTGGTGCAGGGCGTGGCTGTTAAACTGCAGCGCCCCCTTCAGGCCGCCTCTGCACTGGATCTGCATGATGGTGTGGGAGCCCTTCACCGCCTCGATCAGCCCCACACAATCCCCGAGGGACAGGCAGCCGTAGGGCAGCATCCTGGGGGCACAGGAGGGAGGATTAGGCAGGGACCCCTCGCCCGGCGCGGAGATGCGGCCACCTCTCCCACTGACCCCCCTACAAATCCCATTCCCCCCCCAGCAGAGCAGTGACGCAGGTTCTCCCCCCCGCCCCGGTACCGAAGGTCCAGTCCTTGGTTCTGCCACATGTTCTCCATGATCCGGATAATTTGCAGCGTCAGCATGTCCTGCCGGAGATCTACAGCCAGAGACAGACAGACGCAGGTCAGCAGTGCCCCTCACTCCCGACCCGCAGCCCCTGCCACCGGCCCTGCCCCCCCAGCCCTGCTGGTGCCCCTCACTCCCGACCCACAGCCCCTGCCACCGGCCCTGCCCCCCCAGCCCTGCTGGTGCCCCTCACTCCCGACCCACAGCCCCTGC